ACTACATAGGCTCATGTTTGTATGTTAACGTTTTTCTTTTCTACATAATTTCATACAATCAACCAAAAATATGTCCAAATGCAAAATGGAATTCGATTAGAACTACTGTTATGAATAAGACATTCATTGACAACTATACTACAGGAATTTTCGTGGACTTTAATAATACACTCTATGTAGCTATAAACAATAGCAAGCAAACTTTTAAATTGTATGAACAAAATACCATACCAATAAAAAATAGAAACGTTCTACTATCACAATACACTAGCCTCTTCGTAAATATTGATGGTGAAATATATTTCGGATCTAAGAAAGACGATTTCAGGCAGCAACAGTTCGGAATAGTGTACATATTGCTCAAGAATTCTACGAGTATCGTTTCGGCGAACTTTTCAGGACATTGTCATGGTCTGTTTATTGATAATAACAATAATGTCTACTGTTCGATTTCCAATAAACACCAAGTTGCTAAGATGTTATTTAACGGAAGTTCAAACCAACAAGTTATCGTAGCAGGAGAAAACTTCAAAGGATCAACTCCTTATCAAATTGATGAACCCAAGGACATATTTGTCGACAGTATATTTAACCTGTATGTTGCTGACTATGGAAACAATAGAATCCAATATTTCCAAGCAGGACAAATCAATGGAAAAACAATAGCAGGAAATCGAACTTCAAACAATATAACATTAAATAAACCTACATATGTCATACTTGATGCTGATGGTTCTTTATACGTTACTGATAACCAAAATCATCGTATTATTCGATCAGTCAATGACACCTACCAATGCATAGTTGGTTGCAAGAGTAAACAAGGGTCTACAAATGAACACTTGATTAAGCCATATTCTCTTCATTTCAACAGTTATGGCAATTTATTTGTTGCTGATGGATACAATAGTCGGATACAAAAGTTCACATTAGTAGGAAATAATTGTGGTATGTCTAATACAAAATCTGCATATGAAAAGAAAAAATATGTTATGGAGCTAATATTAATTTGATGTAACAATTTGAAATGTTATGTAAATTATTGGAATTCATATTTCTAATATAGTAACAAAATCATTGTGTACTTCATCTATCTAATTGAAAAAAATCCTTAGCTTTAGTATTCATTGTTAACATATACTCTGCTTCGAATAAGATGCATATTTTGAAACAAATACATCGATTGAATACTATTATTTGTTCATCAAATTCAGAGGCTTTTTTTTCAAAAAATTTAAATTATTAAAAGCGAATAAATTCGATATTTCATAGTTTAGTTTGTGAAGTTATTTTATGGTTGTTTTCTTTTTCAAATATAGATACTTCAATTACAACAATAACTTCAACACTCGAATATGCAACAAGTAGTTTATCAATTACCACTCAACAAGGTTAATATCTCGAATAGAAAGTTATATTTCTTAATTTTATAAGCATTATTTAATCCCCCCCAAAAAAAAAGAAATCTTGTTAGACAAACACATGTACCATTTGATTGTGATTTAAAAATACAAATATTTAGCTTTCGAACAGTGAAGTGATTAATTACGGATGATTCTACTAAAAAAAGTTTATGCTTTGAAATTACAATCATAGTGATCATCAATGATAAAAATTTCTTCTACAAGCTAATTCTTTTTGTAAGATTTTTATAAGTTTTTGAAAAAATTTCTAAAACTTTGAAATAATCCTAGCTTAACACACTTAATTATCATTAGCTTTGCAATTCAGCGAACGAATGAGTCGAAAGTCTTCGGACAAAATAAAATTGACTTTGAACGAAATCAGTTACGCTAACAGATTCCGGAAAAGAAAATGTGATGATATGTCTTTTAGAATTGATTTATTGCCACTTTCTTATTTCCATTTGTAAAGACGTTCAATTTTCTAGAGAAATCTTTGCTTTTTCCTTTGATGTATTTGAAATAAAATTCATACCTACTTTGGATTGTATTTTTATCTATCGAAATTTAGTCCAAACTTGTTTTTTATACCTTTCAAAGATTCTATAATAACTTCTAAACTATGAGTCCTACAGAAATTCTGAGCATAGATTCTGAAAAGGAAACAAAATTCTAATTCTAACTTATTGTTCTAAAGTTTCTGCTGACTGACTTAATCAATCGACAAATGAAGAAACATTTTGTTCGAAAACTTTCGGCTCATTCGTTATTTTCTTTTTTTGATATGTCTTTGGAGTTTTGTTTTTCAAAAAGAAAACATTTAGTATTTGAAAGATAGTCTCTGCGAGTTTTATATTCTGATATGATAAAATGACTAACATTGTAGAGCACTTTAAATTTAGTATTTCACCAAACAATAATGACATCAATAATAGATTTATTTATTAATAATATTTTAAAATAATTTAGTTGAAATAACGCAATTAAAAAAAAAACATCAATATTGGCTACTATTATGGGTAAGATCGATGAATATTTTATCTTGTTTAATTTCTAGGATTGACTATTATTTCAATTAGGAATTTCAACCAGTCCGATTAATTTTACTAGATCTTTAAAGCCAAATGATACATTAAGTATTGGAACTAGCTCTTATAAGACTAGTAAGTGATTATCGAACATTATTTAACTAATAAACTTACTATCAAAGGATGTACTTATATTTTTTCAATACTTTGCATTTCTAACTATTTATTTTAACTAGAAGTTACCCAATTTTCTTCTGTCAATTGAATCTTATTGTAAGTGTTCAAATATTGTCATAAAAAAAGAGAAAACACTACGAAATGAACAGAAATTTTTCATAGAACTCTATAGTCTTAATGATATTGAAGTATATCACTTAATTTGAAATAAAAACACTAGATGAATCATTTTAAAACAATAGTTTAGTACATTTGAAATATTTTTTTGTAATATTCAACTTACTAATTGGACTATAAACAAGTAAAACAAGTTTATTGAATAGCAATATTTGATAATAATTTTGTTTGTTTTTTTGAACTGTTAAATTTTATTCCTAATATTTATATAATTTTTACGGATATTTACAAAATAACTATTTAGTTGCAACAGCACAATTACAACAAACATCAACATTAACTACGGTTAAAGGTAGAATTGATAAATGTTTTCTATTTGATTAATTTCTATAATAAAAATATGTTTCAAGGTGAGATTGAATCTACTACTATTTCAACAACAATTGATACTTCAAACATAACAATTAGTTTTAATCAGACTGGTAAGTCATCATCGAAATTTGTAAGTTCATGAATGTATTGCTAAAAGTTGTACACAATGATTTTCAAAATGGCATAATAAACTCTTGAGATCAAAAATTTTTTTTTCTATTCGAAATATGATGATTAGATATAGGGGGCAGTTAGAAATCACATATTCTATAATGAAGCGAATACACGTTGCTTTTCATGTGAACTATGAATTTTTTTGAATAAGAAACGATTACTAAATTTATATTTATATGATAGTTTGATTGAAAAAAAAAACAGAATCGTATTTGAAAATGTAATAATTATTGTTCAAATGTGATATAGTTTATATGTTTAAGAAATTTTCCAGATCGATATATGAAATCTGAATAGTATATTTTTATTGATGAATAATGAAGTACTCTAATTTTGATCATAGTTATTTTTTCTACTCAAATTAAAATTATTCATTAAAGTTAATGTATATTCTTGTGATCATGAGATTAAATTAGTTCATATACTTATAAATTCTTTTTATAATTAGATCCTATGTTGTAATGAACGACTTGAATTTCAAAAATCAATAAAAAACAATTGATTAATTATAAAATAATGTATGCGTATGTACGTGTTACATTTTCTTCAAAACTAGACAAAATATCAATTAAAATCATAAGAATAAGCTTGCTTATGCGGAAAACATAAATAGTCCTAATATTTTGATACAATTTCAATGGACATTAATGTTCGTTCTTTGTTAAAAATACTATAGTTTTGCAGCGAATAATTTCATTTAATAGAGTCTACAAATGAATTATTCAATGCTAAATATTATTCAGAAATTCGGCTTTGTCATAGCGTGTCTTGCGAGTTTATTCAGACAAAATATTTAATGAAATTTTCTATTAGACAATTAAATCGATCAGGCAGTACATTAGGATCAATTCAGAGATAATAATATCAAAAAAATCAGAATTTTTTTCAGTTCTTTTTACATGCATCTATAGGAAGCAACAGAAGAACACAATTATAAAATACGTTTGTCACATTTCAGTATGTTCTAAACTTTCAGGATATTAGCATGTTCTCTCTCTACTATTGTTTTATCCTCTTTTTGTTTCTTCTACTAGAAACAATCAAAATTTATGAACATAATAAAAATAAACAAACAATACTGACATAAGAGATTTATTGGTATAAGTTTTAAAAAAACATACAAAACTCTATAGAATAAGATAAATATTTTATATATGGAGGTGAATTGCCCATTAGTACATAAAAAAGTATCCAGTAAGTATCTTGACAAAGGAAAGATTGAAATATCTCCAGTATGATTCGACCTAAAGGACTCATTTTTTTCTACCAA